TCCCTTTTCCAACAGCCAGCGGAGGATAACGAAAAAACTGTCAGCGTCCCCAAAAAAGAAGATAAGCTAAGAAAACACGATGCGATTGGGCGTTAAGAACAACACCACAGAGGAAGGAAACTTTTTACGCAGCTTCTTCGGCTCGTTATTCATGTTTTGTTGGCGATTTCTTGTTAATGCCAGTGAGAGCGGAAAAGGGATGACCCAAAATATGCATTTAAATATGCTTCCAAAAATGGTAAAAATTCTATAAAAAGGGAAGTAGTTTTTCGGGTCAAATGAAGTGAAGCTCCCTAGACTTGAGGAATCTATAAGGATTATGCTTTGTAAGAAATATTTATTCCGGCAAGGAGACTATACTTTCAATCACCTCGCTGAGCAGGTCTTTTAAAAGGAATATATCAGAGCCAAGACTAAGCTCTTTAAGGACAAGAATAAGAAGCCTTCCATAGATTCAGGACAATTGAATCGAGGTCAATGCAAATTTTCGGGCCAAAAAGTTTGCAATGAATTGCGAAATATTTATTAGCTCCATTGGAACTTTTTCGCAGCATTACACAAAAACTTTCGGAGCATCCTTTCACTGGGCCGGGTTTCAATCATTGATTCATTTGCGGCACAAAAGTACTAAACTTAATTCCACTCGAAGCAGACAAATAAAATATGTTGCTCGGCAAGTTGGCGGAGAAAGTTTCAGCAGCCACACGTATATCCTTTAGGATAGATACACGGCAGTTGTATTGAGTCCTTCGACTCACGCTCATTTCACACTCAATGGCATTGCGGGCTTACATATTCAATTAGGACTAGCAGTGGCTCCTGTCCTGGTGGGGGTCCTGTCTGGTGCAGGCGAACTGCACCGAGTTGGAAAAGTTTGACAAGCCTCCAGGATCAATGGCGCAAAAGCAGAAAATTATGTAAACTTTCTGGTATTCTGGTACTCTGGTATATTCGCCATGTCATGTGATTAAAGTTGTGCCAGTTCTTGCTTCTACACAGCCGGCATCTACTTTTTGCTATTTGCATAGGGAGCCAAGTTTTGTGACAATTGCGAGATCCTGTCAAGGGATGGCTAGAGGGTGGGCTGGAGGGTATGTGTGTTGCTTTGTTACTAAACAAAAGTTAAGTCATAAATATTTTCCGAGTTTTTGACTTAAAATTTATCAACGATATCCGGCTTGCAGCCGCGCGAAATCCGAACAAAGGACACGCACGACCCTCACACTCGCACACTTGTCCTTATCGCCAGCCACTATGTGGGTGTGTGGATGTACAAACACAGGCAAGACCCGCCGTACACACCTCCAACAATATTTAACTTTGCCTGGAAACCGGCAGCCAGCAACCGGCAACTGGCAACTGGCAAAGTTCCTCGACATGCAAAAGTGCAAAAAAATATTTGGAAAATTTGTCAACTGGGGTTAAAGTTGAGACACTGCTGCTCAAACTACTTAACTCTGCGTGGTTAAATTTATAAATGCAATTTCGCAAAAAATGGCAGGATGTGACAGCATGCTGGGATAAAACGAGTTAACTATAAGATGTACAATATAACAAAAAAAAACGTAACAAATAAATACATTTCTGGGTACACCTCTAGGCTTACAGAACCTCATTATCCTAATGTCTTACCTTAGAGCCCGACATCTTATCAGATTGTTAACCAATTAAGGTCCATAAAAAGTGTACCTTTTTAGCTCAAGTGTCCCTAGCGACCCTAGAGCTTATAAAAAATAAAAATGGTAAGAAAAAGGGTTGAGGCTGTGACTCCAGGACCTTATTAATGAGCCGTTGACCTTTTTTCCCAGATGGCCCGCAGCTCACCTGGCTTCCAGGTGGCAGGTGCCTAGTGAACGACCTCCTCAAAGGATGTGACAGTCTGCCGGCCAGTGATTTTAATTACGAGGATGCAATAACCGAGTGCTGCAACCGCAGGCAAGAGGCACACGCAAAATCAATCAGTCCGTCATTCAATCAATAATTCAGGCCGACCGACCGGCTCAAGAAAGTGGCAAATTAATTAAAAAAGCAGAAATCATCCCAAAAAGGCAAATAAGGTAGGCACTGTGGAGTCCATTGCCCGGCTCCATGGTAAAAGCTTTTAACGTCCTTCTTTATATTTTCCCCTTTTTCCCAATTAAATTGATGAGTGGCCGAGGCCGAGGGATAACATTTATCAGCACCAGCCCAGAAAGCTGGCCGAGACAATAGGAGCTTAAGCAAGGACATCAAGGACGAGGCTGGAGTGCCAGGAAGCCAAAGAGCTGCACCAGCAGGCGGACAAAGACCGAGTGTTATGTAAATGACGCTACACAAAAGACGAACAATGAAAGGATGCTTCTGGCTGGCGAGGAATTGGGAAAAAAAATTGGGAGAGGCGGGACCGGAAGGACTAAAGCCAGATAAGCAAATGACAAACAACAGCGGGCGAAATTAGAGGTCCTGCTAAAAGCACTTCCTATACTTTTCTTTTTTTGTAAATCCTACCTAAGCACTTTTCCATTTCGACTGTTTATCAAGTTGGAAGTCTTTTTGGCTAAAAAATGAATTAAATGAGACTCTAATGAGTTTTTTTAATCTTTCTCATTAAATCAACTAAAAAGTGCTTTCTTAAAACGTTTCTTATCTGAACTATCCTTTACCACTCACCTTTACGATTAATTTATTCACTTTGCAACATTATGGTTTTAGCTAAAAATATTCTAAAATATTTCAAGGTAAATTTAATATAGATGTTGAATGAAGAAAGATATGCAATACCTTGACTTTATTATTTTAATTATAAGTATCAGACACCCTATTACATTTTGCACTTGCACTCCAGATAGTTACCCTTCTTGCATTTCATTTTCTCATAAGTACGGTTTCTAAAAAACTTTCTATTTTTATTTTATCATCATAATTTTAGTGGCAAAAAGTTAGTTGATTTCTGAAAACTTGGTGGCCGATAGCCAGAACAAGAAAACCGACTGCCAGAGAAGACCAACGTGTATATGTAGATGGAACATCGTTTTCATTAAAACTTCTGACACAACGCATTTGTTGATGTTTCCGGCACTCGGCTGGAAGTTGTCACTCCGCCGCCCTCACGAGGAAAACAAAATAAAACACCAAACAAGTCAGGAAGTTGAAATTCGAAATCGCAAAAGTCGGCAAGTGGGAGGGTTCTGCCACTTCATCTTTATGGTTCTATTAATTGTTTTTGCTGCTGCAGTGGCACTTGCAACTTGTTTGTTTGGGGAGTGAGTTTAGTTTTTAGTTTTCGTCGGTAGGGCAAGGGGCGAGGGAGCTGTTTGGAAATCATAACATCGGAAACAGAAACACGAACAAGGGAGAAATGTTTGGCAACACTTTCGGCGAGTTATGTTTCAAGTGGCGAAAGGTTATGGGGCGGCAAGTTCCTATGAGGTTAAGCTGAGCAAAACGAGGTTACGAGTCGAATTTCATCTGGAAAGGTGAGAGTTCCGCTCAGCAAACTGACTACTTGGAGGTGTGTTTGATGTACAAAGCGTTTCAATGCGATCAAGTTCATCCTTAAGCCTCATTAGAGTTTATATTTCAAACAACTAAAGTTTCCAGAAAACACTGAAACTGTACACTTTCAGCCATAGCAACTAATTAATGTTATTTCGTGTTATTATCCCCTTAATGCTCCAGTTTCCTCGAAATGTACAAAGCTGGCCATTTCTTGCAAACGACTCGTTCATTTTTCATCTGCCAGCAATCAAGTTGGCAATTAATAAACGTAAGTAAGCCAGAAAGTCTAGGATTCATTTCCACTTCCGCTCCGGAGGAGGGCAGAACGCCATTTCGGCCATCATCTAATTATGCAAAATGGCACATTTCGTTTTGCAGACAGAGACGGTGTCTCTAGTTGGATTCTTTTAACAATGCCATTTAAAATTAATTTTCAATTAACTTTCGCGGCCCGGCTCCGGCCATCTGGTCTGGCCCCAACTTCCGTTTCCAACTATGTAGTTGGGGGGGAGTGCTAACAAAAGTTTTGTGTGAACGCCTTCTCCATAAATTGAATTTTCCGCTTTTTGTTTCTGCCAATTAAGTCAATGGCGGAGGACCCAGCCGGGCCATTGTGAGTGATACTAATTTCCAGCGACACGGAGGCTACTTAAGTCCTTGCCTCCCATTCCTGAACTCCATTCCCTGGCCAACAAAAGGGATCTCCTGTAATGGAAATCGACACGGTTGAGCTTTTCATGGCGAAAACACAAATGCCAGGTTCCATTTGAGGCTCAGACCTAACCCTTGGCAACCAAAAAAAAACAACTATTTGGACTGCATTTTACTTTTAGATGCTCCATTGAATGGTGCGCATTAGTTGTTGCTCCCTACACTGAAAAGAGCCAAAGTTATGGACATTCAAATGCTAATTCTTAGACATGAACTCTAGGAAAGTATTTCTCTCAGTTCTGTTTACTCGCAGCTTTCGAAAATCCGCCCCCAGGTCCTTCCTGCTGTCGGCTGCCTTGTTTTATCGCCAACGATGCCATTACAGGGCGATTTGAGCTCCATTTGTGCTGGCCATTTCCATCGCAAAGATAACTTGACAGTCACTTAGCGGATTCGCGTCTGGCCGGTGCCCGGGCCTGGAAGTGGCAGGGGCAAGTGGGAGATGCCAAAGGTGTGTGTATCGCAACTACATGCTCCAAATGCCCTCGGATTAAGGTTGTCCGACTGCAACACCTGGTGCTTGGTATCTGGTTCGCAGTCTGACTGACAAGCCGGAGGGGAAAGAAATGCAAAATGGCAGAGCACTGATTTTAGCTCAAAACTTCGTCCGCATCAACATGTCCCACGGACTTTTCACAAAGTTCCTCCTTTCATAACGAGGAACTTACTTCTTTTCGGGAGCAAAAGTCCTCCTGCGGCAAAGTTTTAATAGTCTCGCATTTGAGTCTCCTAATCGTATGCTAACCTGGCTAACGAGTCTGACTGACTTCTTGGAAAGTTATAAGTTATTGGGTTGAAAGATCATCACTTACCTTGCCCAAATTGACGAAACCATGGTCCTTGGCCACGGCATCGGCCTTGCCGTCATCTCCGTCGGGTATGTGAACCGCCCAGGTGTGCGTATAGTGTCCGGCTATTTGGTTCTGTCCCCCGGACCCGGAACCGCCGTACTTTCCATTGCCGTTGCTCTTGCTGGGCGTTAGCTTGGCCCGGCCGTCCGTCTCATAGTCGAGGACGTAGGGCGGCAGGACCGGCGACTGGTCCAACTTAAGGGACGAGGATGCGGGCGGGGATGGGGGAGCTGGTGGCGGTGCTGCCGATGATGCCACGCTTCCGGCCACGAAACCGACATTAAAATTACATAAAAAAACTACGGCACTAATTTGCAGAATTGACAGCAGGCAGGCTTTCGTTTTGGCCAAGTGTCTGCTGTTGGCCTTCTTTCGGTTTCTGCTGCTGGTGCTGCCACTTGGCTCACATTGCGCTAAATAACTAGTTTTGAATAAATTGCAGTTTAAATTGAAGTTCCTTATATCACATTCAATGATTGTTTGCTGTTGTTCTTGCGCGGCTAATTGGCGAGCATTTAGTTTGTTGCTTTTGCTTCTGTGTTTGTGGCAGCCTCTGTTGTGGATGCTGTGGCAGTTGAAGCTGCTACTTGTGCTAGTGCTGGTGGTGTTGCTAGTTGGCTCCCCGCTCCATCGTACGACGTCGTTTTTCATTGTGCGTAAGTATTTTTACAATTTTTATAGGCGTGCGTTGCTCGGAATTCAGGCTCAACACGCTACTGTGATGCTGCAATGAAGAATTAAACAGAAAATACATATTATTAGTCAAGTTATTTGAACTTTTGTTATCAAAGGCAAGAGAGATCTATTCATGTAACAGATAATTATCCAATAGTCAAGCCAATCAGCATAACAAATTGCCTGTAACTGACACATCCAATTTGGCTTAGCCGAGCTAAAAGCTAAAAAATATGCCCACAAGACTCTTTCCTTCAACTAATTGGATGTCACTTTGCATTGTTGGGTGGAAAGACACTCCCGGACATGAGCTCCCGGGACTACTGCACTGATTGTCACCCCGTGGACAAGTTTCGATTGCAAATGAGAATCAACGCTGCCAAAGCCCCGACAGATTCAAGCTGAAACCCAAACGGCCGAGCCGTCGAGCGGCCGAACATCCGGCTAATGCCACTGTCAAAATATGCCCATGACTGATGATGGCCAGGGGCCGGCTCTGGGCGATTGGCATATTTCATCTATTGATGGCGGATGTTGGCGGATCTCTGGATTTGGCCAGTCACTTGGCCAGCAAGTCGGCGTAATTAAAGCGAGTGACAGCGGAAATGCCAAGCACAGGGAGATGGATTGCCGCTGGAGTGCTCTGGAGACTGTTATTGTGGGGTCCTGACAGCCGGGTGGACAGACTGATGTGTTGTTCGGATGGACACTCTGATGGCCAGCGACGGAAGCCGTTGGTGCGCAATGGTAATCAATGGCTAAGTGGATAGGAAATTGAATTTCGTTTGGGGAGCAGAGCCTAAACTGGAATGGTTTATCCTAATCTCTCGAAGATCTCCTGCTGAGCTTAAAGGGCTATTACGGTGGTGTCGCTTCCCATCAACTCATTAATAATCCTATAGATTTCCTTATGAAATCAATAACTTTACTTGTAATTACTTATGATGCAGCAGCCATAAAAATTCCATTCAAAGCCTTTATTAGAAATTCAAAGCTACACTCGCTTTTCAGCAAAAAGTCACAACTCTTATTAGAAATTCAGAACAGACAGTGTGCTGGAGCTGGAGCTGGAGGTGGAGGTCTCCCCCCAGCTTGGCAGCTCACTTTCAAGGCAATGAAATGGACTGTCAACATACTCCAGCTCCCCACTGACCTCCCCATCATCCTCCTCCATCGAAAGCCAATGCACATGAATGCACACCGGCAGAAGGACGACTCCTTTAGGTTGACTATGCACCTTTTGTGCTTGAACTTCCTTCCGCATTGAGCCATCGTCAGCAGCATCTCCATCTCCATCAGGAAGGTCCTGCGCCCTTGCCGTCCTCTCTCGATTCTGACTTTGACTGACGGCATTTGTCAGCGGCAGACACAAAGTAATCATTACTTGGCGCACTTCCGCACTGTTGCAGCTTCCACCCGGCAGCCCACTAAGCGTATACTTAATAATAAGAAAATAAGTGCCGCGCCACCGAAGATGGAGGGAGTCCTCGAGACAGCACCTCGCGCACATGGTAACGAAAAGTGGAAAACGGTGTCAAAGTCACCGGCGCCTGGCAGCCACTACTACTCACTCTCCTCTGAAAGGTTTCAGGGCCTGACAACCTGAGACAAATCAAAGTGTTGTTTAAAGGCGGGAGTGCATCTCGGGGAATCGATGTTGCGGCCTTGGGGGTCGAACGAACAAAGTGCAGAAGCTAGTTCCACAAGACAGGCGCGTCCTTAAAGTGATTCTTTAAATTCCTCACAATCTTTTCGCCATTAGGGCTTCAATCTCCCCATTCTCACTCTCTCACTCTTTTGCATTCCAAACCATTTACCTAAACCCGAATAACATCCCCCGAGGATGCCCCCTCATAATCTGATCTATTTCCACTCAGCAAACAGACAGAGCTCAGGACCTCCGCAAAAAACTGTACAGTGTCCACACAGCAATCAGAAATCACTCAAATGCCCAACAGAAATCCTTAAATTGCTTAAGCTTGTGGCTCCTGGAAGCTCAACCTCAAAAAAAAAAAAAAAGGAAAACAAACGCAAGAAAATAAAAGACCACACGGCATAGAGAGATGACAATGCCAGGCATCGGTTTAACAGTCCTTGAGGCATTTTTTGGGCAAACAGCCGACACTTGGCTGCTGCTTTGGCATCCTTTGTGGTTGGCTGCTCCTCCAGCCTGCCTTCCAGTGGAGTGCTGTTGCTAGTTCCTGTGGATCGCCGCTCTATGCAAAGTGCCATGTCAAACGCAGGACTGAAAGGGCTAAAGCCGATGGTGGGGATGATGGGAGGAGAGGGCTCCAGAGAAGCCACATCGAAACACATTAGGCCAAGGAAGCTGTTGCCATGAAAAAAATGAAGTTGCAGCAGTTGCGGCAAAAGGCAACAAAACTGCATGAGGAAAGTCAAAAGGCGGCAAGTACACAGGGAGAGTAGAAAAAGTCTATTATCCATACTGGAGAATATGTTCCAAAAGCCAGGAGTTGAGTTACTACCTACTTCTCCCAGTGTAGGCCGTAGTTCACACCATCACCAGCTCCTTTGTCCCTCTTTGTTTGTGTGAGTATCTGTGTGTATTTGTCTTCTGGCCTCGCTTTTAATGTGCCTCCTCCTGCAGCGGATTGAGGTAGGCCCTTGCTTGTGTGGTGGCTCGTGTGTAGTTTTCTGAGCTTTCTGCTGGCATGATGGTGGCTTCGCTTGTTTAATGATAGTTGCACAAAGGCAAATATGCACTCTCTAACGCTCGTTGGCTTTTACTGCCCCGCCCACTCTGCCCCATCCGCCTGCTGCAGCCCTTTTTTTCGCGACCAGCAACTGGAGCACAAAGTCAACAACAAAACAGCCTCGGCTAACGCCCGCAGAAAAGCGGCTGCCGAAGCCCAAAAGAAGCCAGGCCATGTGCACAAAAAAAAAAAAATGAAAACAGGATGGCCCCAACCAGCCCAACAAAATGCCTCAAAAAAAATAAATGCCAAAGTGTCAAGCAAAGAGTCACCCGGAGCAGGAGCAGGTCAGGGGGCGGGTCTTTTTTTAAACTCGGTGGCGTATTAGCACACGATCGCCAAACAAAAGGTGCTGCTAACTTTTTTGTGGCCGCCCCCAAATGCATAGAAACGCCATTTGCCACTTGCCACCAAAGGGCCACAGCTGCAGCTACAAATGGGTGTGGTGACTGTACTGAGAAGGCCACACCATGGTGCATCAGGGCCCTGCCACCTGCCAGGAGTGGCTTTGACAGATGAGGGCGTGAGAATTTGCAGCAGAAATTGGCCATGAGCTGACAGCTGGAGTTAGGCATGGCCAAGTCCACAAAGGCCCAGTGGGTTACCTCTACTAGGATAGAAGTCAATAGAAAAGGCTCTTTTAAAATGAAATAAAGGTGGAGCACCTGGCATTAATATCCTCTTAGCCTCCACTTTAAAACTCGGATTTAAATCAATCACTTTGCGGCTGGGAGAACTCTACCAAACACAATCCCATAACAATAACTTTATTATTAATCGAAGCGGTAATGAATCCCCCGATGTGGGATGGCCGCCGTCCAGGCGATTATCCGTAGCCGTGTGCTCCTCCTCGGACTCACCGAATTTTAATTACTCGCCATTGTTTGGGCACAGCATGATATGTGTGTCCTCGTCCTCGGACACAAGGCTCGTCCACCTTCGTTCGTCCGCAGAAAATGCATATTTCGTTAAGGCTTGAGTCTCCGGATTGCTTTTTAATGTGCAAACAAGGACGGGCATTAAGTGAAACCCCGAATGCGCAAAAGGACGAAGGATGCAGCGAGCGCCTTTAATTGATTTTGCATGGTCACTTGCAGCGGTCCAGGCGTAAGATAAATTCTGAAAATAAGACACTGCATGACGTCGAGGAAAATCCCGACATGTGTCATGTCCATGGTGGGGCTTCACTGCCACCATCGGTATGCCATTGTTGTTCCTTCGGTGCATTTGCGATATTAACTCTCCAGCTGGAAACGCCATTCAGAAATCTGAATAACGCTTAATGTAAGCACCTGGCAGGAGGGAGAAAGTAAGGAGGTGCGAACCTAAAAGTACCCAGAATATAAAAGTCCATACAAATTTGAGGCACAACAAAGGACGCCTCAAGGCAGCACCTACCTCAAGTGCAATCTCGACAGAAAATAGGAGGGTTCGAGAACAAAACAAAAAAATGTCACAAGAAGGACACTCATCCACTCAATGACTTGCTCAACTCCACGGAATCCTCAACTTTATACAAAAAATGGCATAATTGTTGGCTCTTTTTATTAAAAATTATGTTTTCAAGGCGAATGTACAAATACCCTATAATACTTTCTATGAACTATCCTATAACCCATTCTGTACAGCTTTAATCATCCCTGCACCTGGAAAAAGCTATTAAGCCTCTTGCACAAAAGTCAGTGCCTCCTACAGGATGTGGCAGGAGCCATTTCTTGCAACAGTTGCCCACAACCCTCACGGCGGAAATGCAAATGGGTAATGCAACACCGGTGGCAGCTACCAGCACAGGTGAGCAGCAGCCCAACGATTATGAGAACGATGATAATGACGGCATTGCCGACAAGGTGGAGGTGATGGTGATGATGATGATGATGCTGCAACTTATGGACCCGTAAGGGAGTCAAGCTTGGCAAAAGGCCAAAGACAAGAGAAGCCTTTGCTGCAGCCATTACCATTGACAATGATAATGAAAATCTCTGAAGAAGAACCGAATATTACTTATTTTTCTCATTTAAAAAAGCCTCTCCTTTCAAGCCTTTTAAAGAGGACTCTTTCCACCGCAAACACAGGACCCATCTCCGGTCGAATCACAGTTTTTGTGGCTGAGATTCCGCGGGAAGTTGGCGGCCAAGTGTGAGTTGGCAGGAAGCCAAGTGTAAATCAACAAATCAACAACTTAATATGCGCAAATTTCAGATGCCAACTGCAGTTGTTGCCCCCAAAAAACTGAAACGGAAACAGCAGCAAAAACAACAAGAAACCATTGCCGGTGGTAGGCCACATGGAGGAGTCAAGGGGCAGCAGTGCCGCGTTGCCAAAGTGGTGACGGCAT